GAAAATTATCTAAATTTATTTTAAACACAACGGTTTTATTAACAATTCTATTAAATTGAAATACAGAGTAAAAAAGAATTACACATAAAAAAGTATTGAAAGAAAATATCTGTATACGTAGGAACAATTTCATAAGAATAAACATGTGACGTCAACCTTTCAAAGTATAAAGTGACATATGAATTAAAGTAACTTACATGTTCATAAAATCACAAACTAGTACATAGTATCCTACTTAGTAGAACAACACACGCAACAACATCAAATAAAATTTAAATTTTCAAATTGTTTAGGAAGAAACAACTTTTGTAAAACTGCGCTACATATATAAATATATATACATGTATACATAACTTTTTTTCAATATTCCTAAAAAAAAAACTATGGCAGCTTATATGAGATCAATCAAAATGATCATTGTCATTGTACTGTAAAATCACATATTTTCGTGGGGGTCAAATTTTCGTGGTTTGAGGAAAAAATGTTGCTTCATGGGGATTTGATTTCGTGGATGAAGAACTTTTTAGTAGTTGTGCATATGAAAATTTACATTTCGTGGTCGGCATGGATTCGTGGGTCTCTTCATACCTCAAAAACAACGAAAATTAACCCCCCCCCCCACGAAAATTAGTGATTTCACATGAGATTTCACAGTACATAGATTCACAGTAATAATTTAAGCAGTAATTAATGTCATACTTTTCAATTCAGATCTACTCTTAATACTAACTGGTCCTCTACAGTATTAAAGTAACATGTGATAGATACACTTTTGTTCAAGATATGTTATGCAATAAACCAGTACAACAGCAATATAAATGTATAGCTACCATCTAAAAATTGGCAAGCGTTGGTTACTTATGTTGGTGATTTTTGTTGTGTAACATAATATAAGGCAGCTACACATACGCATATTAGACCAGGGCACAAAAACTCTTCTCATAATATCTTTTTCACTACAAGTACAATGACTGTGATTACAATACACCCAACAAGGACAGCAATATAGCTCAATATTATAGCAGGTTTGGCCCACTTCTTGGCCAAGACATATAAACCTTTCCTGTAGGTCCTAATAGCTTTCCAGGCATATTTATTGGCAAAAGCCCCTATAGGGAAAAAGAATAAGACACTGATATACGACAAGCATAGAATCTGGTTAAATGTTGTCCAGGGACGTGGGGTCAAGTCACTCTCAGGGACTTTTCTCACAAGATGGGGCAATGTCATTGTGTGTGGATTTTCCTTAGAGGCTTGAATTTCATAGCTTGTGATTTTTTGGTCTTTGCTTTTGGCGGCCTGATTTTGTTTTACAAGAGAGACGTTGACATGCTTTGGATCAGCTTGGCTCGACTGTGGCTCAGTTGTTGGAGATTCTTTTTCACGTCCCTCTTCTAACTCAACCTGTAAGTTATTTCCTTCTGTGGAATCCATTTTATAAACAGCCCTCAAAGATGTCACTGAAATTAATCTGTTAATTAAAGACGAAAAATTACAATGCATAATTAAACATACCCCAAAACATTGTTTTTTTTTATTATTCATATTGGGCACTGAATCAAAGTTTAACACAGGAATAAATGAATGACTATAAATATCGAAAAAATTCTTCTCAATAAGAACAAAGACAACATTCTTAGTCATATTAATCCTCAGAAAATCATGTTTGTTCAAACTGTGTCCCCCACCCCCATCCCAAAGGGGTTGAGTAAGGACACGATGGTAAATCAGTTTTACATAGAATACACGTTTACAGGAAATAATTATTAGCAATCTTCTTTTTAAAAACAGCAAAGCTATGATAAGGGTAATTGATATGGATTTTTTTTTTTTCAGGTAATGTAGATTCAACTTAATTAATGTTAAATTCATTTATTATTTTTAATGACATTCTTTGCACGGATGTTAGTGTGAGGGGCCGAGGGGGATAATTTCTGTGAAAGAAAACCGGGGATAAAAACACGTATCTGAGCAGGCAACCACCTTACCCTTTCAAGTACAACCTTCGTCGATCACAGGGATCGAACTCGGATTGCGGCAATAAGAAACGAGTACGCAACCACTCCACTACCCGGTCACCCTATTGTGGTCCCGGCCTTCCTATCGTGTA